TTTCTCTGGCAAAGCCCTAACTTTGCCAGTGTATTTACAGTTTTAATGAGTGTATGATTCTTGATTGGCAGTTGTTTTCTTTCAGTTTTATATATGCCATCCCACAGCCTTCTTGTCTGCAGGGTAGTTTTTGCAAGAAACCAAAGCTTATCTTATTGGTTCTCCTTTGTAGATAACTTTTCCTGTTTTCCAGAATTGCTCTTGGAATTTTTACCTTTCCCTTGGTTTTGGAAAGTTTGCTTATGTTGTTATATCTTGGTGATTTTCTTTTGGGTTTTATCCTCTTGGGAGTTTGTTCAGCTTCTTGAATGCGGATCTTCTTGTTGCATGATGTTAATGACGTTTTCTTCTAACAACTCTTCAACAGTTTTCTGTGCACTTGTTTCTCTTCCTTTTCTGTAATTACACTCACATGTAATATATTCTTCTTATGCCCCACAGGCTAATTTTTTAGCCTTTCTTTGAATTTTGATTTTTGTTTGTTTAATGTTCTGTTAGCAGTGTTTCTGAAAGTTGGTGTTACTGCCCTCTCAGGGATGCTGGAACAATCCAGGAAGGCTACAAAACTAGATACTTATACTTTATCCTGGATTATGGGCTATAGTACAAAGATTTTTAATTGCCAGGAGGTGCTAAGTAATTTTTTTTTTTTTATGAAAAGGAAGCAGTAGGCAAATAAATTTGGGGACTTACGCTTTCAACTCACTCCCATTGAATTGATGCTGACTCATAGTGACCCTGTAGGACAGAATAGAACTTCTCTTGTGTGTTTCTGAGGCTATAAACCTTTATAGGAGGCGCAAGCCGCATCCTGCTGTGGAATGGCTCCTGGTTTTGAATCCTGGTTTTGAACTGTCGACCTTGTGGTTAGCAGCCCAATGTGTAACCACCACAATGTGCTCTAGCAGATTAATTTGAAAAAAATTTATATTCAAGCTCACTAGTTCAGCCTTTTATTTATTAAATTTAACTCTTGTCCTTTTAATGTGTTATATAGTTCTGAAATTTGAGCATTAATCTTTTGGATTTTTGAATTCTATGGTTTCAAATGTTCTTCATTTATTGTAGGGTGTGTTTTTTTTTTTAGGTCAAACCAGCATACATTTATTGAACACCTACTTACTATGTGTCAGGCACAGTTCTAGTACAGTTCCTGCTTTTCACACAACCCTCCCTACCCCCATTTTATTGGAGCTAATACAGATACCATATTGCTCTATAGTTCAGTAGTGCTAAGCAGTATTGTACAATTGCTACCCCAGTCAGTTTCAAAATATTCTCTTCCTCTTGAACTCCTTGACATCAGCTCCCTTTTACTGCCCCCCCAGCCTGTACCCCCTCCCCAAATCCTTATTCTACTTGCTGTCTCTATAGGTTCATCGATCCTAGATTTTATGTACTGAAAAACTTGTAGCAAAAATGCAAGAGAGTCACCCCCAATGACAAAATACAACTGAGATAAACTCCAATATGAATAACAACAACAACAACAACAACAACAAACCACTGAAAATGTTAAAAGCCAGATCAGGCCCAACATGCATCAGAGTGGGAATCACCTGACAAGGTTGGCTGGTTAGTTCAAGTCAGGTTTCTCATTCTGATCTCCTGTAGTCATCTCTCCAGTGCACTCTGTTTGGTAGCCAGTTTCTTCCCTTCCCTCTAATATGGTTAGAGGGAAATCACTGGAGGCTTATTTTCTAGGTAGCTCTCACAAATGTATCTTGGGCTCCTACTGTCATCCATAGCCTTCTGCAAACCAGAATCTCACACTTCAGGCTCTGATACTATTCATTCCTTCAATTTAAGATTATATGATTTATAATCCTTCGCTCAGTGATGTTGGTGTGCTTCTTCCATTTGGTCTTAGTTGACATCTCACTTAGATGAGTTAGTTTTTTCTTGTAGTGTTTCTTATAGAAAGTTTTTCTAAAGTTTTTTCTGTGTTTGCCTTGATTTTGCTTGCAGCATTTCTGATCTTGCTCTCAATCTGTTGAAAGAACCTAACTACCATTCATTTGTGTTACTTGGCAAATAGGGTTACTGTCATTCTTCAAAAGGTCTTTTGATTCTCTAGTTACTTGTCTGAACCCCCTTGTCTGGTTTCTTTGTCTGAATTGAAATTGTTGTCTCTGAGACATTGTCTCGGTGAATATATGTTGGTGTGTGCACATGCATTCACTACCTATCTCCTGATGAATGTGATAAAAAGTGTGCCTTCTCTGTTTGCTGTTTGTGTAGCACAGTTGAGGGTGGGTTTGGTTGATGCTGTCTGTGTTAGTCTGGGTAGACTAGAGAAACAAATCCATGGACACACATGTGTATAAGAAAGATATTTATATACAAGAGCAATTGAACATTGAGAAAACATCCCAGCCCAGTCCAGATCAAGTCCATAAGTCTGATATTAGCCCATATTTCCGATATCAATCTATAAAGATCTCCTCAGACTCATGAAACACATGCAGTGACGCCAAATGCAGAAGATCACAGGCCAATGGGTGGGAAGTCTTTGGATCCAGTGTCATTAGAAACATCTCAGCGATGGCAGGGGTCTCTCTGTGGCTTCTGTGGCTTCCGAGGTCTGCTTGCATCCATGTGGCTTGCTTTCTGCAATGTCTCCCAGGGTGTAGCAGATAGAGGTGTCTTCTGCCTCCAAGGAGGAAGTACCAGATTTCCCAGAATTCTCAGGAGAAGGCCATGCCCACACAGAAGTCTCATTGGCTATCCCCAGATGGAGAGCCTAGACTCCACCCCTACACTCTTAATCCTTAAATTGACACCAGATTAGGTGACTACCACACTGTCTGCTGTCTATTGTTTATCAGGTGATACAGGAGTGCAGAGTGACCCTCCACCAGAATGTGGGACTGCAGGAGGTGTGAGTGGGACAGCATGCATTCTGTGGGTACACAAGTCGTCTGTGGGTGGGACAAGAAAATTTTAGAGAGAAAAAAAGGAAAAACAAGCAATAATATTTAAAAAGAACGAAAGAACAAGCCAGAGAGAGCAGATAGATAAAAGTAAGAGAAGAAAAAAAATTAACTAGAAAGGAAAAGGAAAATAAAATAATACAAAAGATAAAAGAAAAAATATAATTAGCAATACTAGACAAACTAAGAAAGAAGAAGGGAAAGAAATAGAAGAAAGGCAAAAGGAAACAAGATAAATGGGACAGCGGGGTGAGGGGGTAGAGAAAAAAAACAAGAAAAATTGTGGAGGTCAGAGCACCATGTTCTGCTCGTCTGATGAGTTAGAGTTCACCCAGTTTCAGTTCATCTGTTGCATCCTAGACCTGATCAACCTTAGGTAGACCAGGGACTGTGCAGGGTGGTAGCTCTTGGCCACTGGTGGGTGAGGATGAGGGCTGGCCGTGCTCCTGGCAGCAGGATGGTATTGAGGACAGGGGAGGGTGTTCCACCTTTCTCATTGGCAGCCACTGGTGTGTCATCAGGCTGTTGTCTTCATAGAATTCTGCTTGCAAAAGTGCAAGATGGTCGAGCAGTGTTAAGCTAGCCAACAGTTCTCCCTGTGTCACCTTTTGCTACATTTGTTTAACTCCTCCTAGTTGGTAATCAGCCACTTCTGTGTCCTTTCTTTTGAAGCTTAGGGTTCCAGGATTAATCATCTGTTTCATTTGATTTCTCTTGTCTTTGTGTAGATGGTCTGTGTAGTGTGTCTTCCTACTTCTTCCTGAACCCTCCCCCCTTGCCCCCCACAATAGTTTTTAGTGAGAGGAGGGAGAGACAAGGTCAGTGCATGATTCTGTTTACTGTGTGGAGACTGCACTGTTTAAAAGCAACCTAAACTTGCTGAGTTGGTTTGAACTCATAGTGAGCCTATAGGACAGAGTAGAACTGCCTCCTGGAATTTTCTAGGCTGTAATGTTTATGGAAGCAGTGCCACATCTTTTTCATGTGGAACAACTGGTTGGGTTTGAACTGCCAGCCTTTTAGTTAGCTGCTGTGTGTTTAGCCCCTGTGCTATTAAGGCTCCCAGAACGAGCTATAGGGGCAAGAACAGAAGTAGCTAAGCAAGCTAGGCATGAAATGTTGTGGCAGATGACTGAGCATTAACATGTGTATATTCTAATTGTAGTAAAACTCTCTAGAGATTATTCCTTATCAGTGTTTCACAGAGATTTAGTTCTAGATCTTAGTACCTTCATTGGCATTGTTTTTCCAGAGATCGGCTTAAGAAAATGAGTTGGTTTTTGTTTTCTTTTTCTCCTTTTCTGCTTGAAATAATTTGGCTGTTCAGGAAGGAAAGATCATACTACTGGACATAAATGGCACTTTTGCCTTATTCCAGTAAAATGAGAACATTTAATTGGAATAAATTATTTTTTAAACTCATTTTTTTAACTGAATCGGTCTTCATTAGAATATTTGTTTCTGTTCATTTATAAGTTGGTGGCACTAGCAATCTTAAATTAAATATAGCTAGTCTCTAACATAACTGAAAAATAATTGTTCATATTCTGTGATTTTTTTTTTAGTTTTTAACATGAAAAATTTCAACATACTAAAGCAGAGAGCATAGTACAATAATCCCTCCATGTACACCTATCACTCACTGTCAACAACAGCTAACTTTGTTTCATCTACATCTCTGAATATGTTTATTTTGAAGAAAATGTCATCCATAAAATTTCTGTATGTAACTAAAAGGTAAAGATGTTCCTACGTTTTAGTGTTTTGTTTTATAAATAGATAACCATCTATTGGCTTGTCTCCCAGAGTCCTAATTTATGTTTTTGTCCCAGTGTTTATTATGTATTCAGATCTTTTCACTTAAAAGAATGCCTCTGTTTGGATGATAAAGTAGGAGTTCACCTTGTATACAGAAAGGAATCTGTTTCTTAGTGAATGGCAAATAAAACTTTTAATGGTCCCTTCAGGATTGAGTATTCTTATTTTCTTTCTTTCTTTTTTTTTTAACCCCCTCACTGGATTGAGTATTTTTCTAATAGTATGCTACTTTCCTATATCCTTTTCTAGCAGGAGAGTGCTTTCTGGAACTCATCATTTCAAGAGCTGTGTAGTGCTACCCCGTCAGAGAGAAAGGATCCAGAACATACGGTAAGGAAGGACTGGCGCAGGGTTGCTTGGATTGCACCATCACCTTTGGAGTTCACTTCTTTCTTTCTGTGTCACAATTTTATAATAGCTAAGTTCCGAGAATATTCTTTTGGGGAAAAAACAGACTTGTGTATTTAAATAAGAAAGATAATGCTAATGCTTTAGAAATATTGTTCGACATTTTTTTTTTGGATATCCAATCATCTGTTATCTAAGTGTACTAAAAAAATAATTGCCATAGAGCCCGTTTTTGACTCTTAGAGACGCTATGGGGCAGCCTAGAACAGCCCCTTTGTGTTTCTGTGGCGATAAATCTTGACAGGAGAAGAAAGCTTGACCTTTTTCCCATGGAACGGTGGCTGACTTTGTCAATAGCAGCCCAACTCATAATCCACTCCTCTACCAGGGCTCCCTTTTCAGGTGTAGATTGTTTAACTTTCAGCTTTTCCCAGGTAAATATTCAAAGACACTCCACACCCACTGGCATTGAGTTGATTCTGACTCGTAGGGACCCTCTAGGGACTTCCTCTGTGGGCCTCTTACCTTAATGGGAGTAGAAAGATGTTGGTTGACCTTGCACCAGGTAACCCACTACTTTACCAAGTATCCAAGGTAAATATTACTTTATGTTTTTTTGTTTTGCTAGGGCTTAGTCAAGAGGAGCCCTGTGGCATGGTGATTTTGTGTTGGGCTGCGACCTACAAGGTCCACAATTCTAAATCACCAACTACTCTTTGGGAGATAAATGGACTTTAAATTCCCATAAAGATTTATCGCCTCAGAAACTCACAGGGGTAGTTAGTTCTACCCTGTTGTAAAATGGTCCCTATGAGTTGACATTGATTAGATAGCGGTGAGGTGTTTTTTTTTAAATCACTTGTTGTACTTAATCAGACCTTTTATTAACCTTGTTTTCAACGCTTTATTTTTACTTAAAGGGAAACAATCTAGCAAGTTTTAAGTACATCTTTAGCAAAGGTAGAAACTGGAAAGAGTTATTGGCTGCCTGTGAAGTATTGTTTACTTTGTTCTGCCTTCTAGAGGCCCATTATTTGCTCCTTGTTTATATCTCATCTTTTATACGGTTAAAGATTATTGTACACTCTTTCTTTCTGTTATCCTTAGACATGTTAAGTGTATGCTGAATGCTTTTTGAAAGAAATGAATGATAGAACTTGGGAGTATTCTTTGGCACAGGTAATTAAGACTTCAATTCTAGCTCTACTGAGTTTGAGGTCAAAACAAGTATGAACCTTCTGTAGGCTACGATTAGTTTCATAAGGAAATTTGAGAAGGCTGTTTTGGGGAAAGATGAGTGGAAAGGCTGTTAGAGGCTGCAAGTGTTTTTGTAGCTGCACAGTGCATCATTGTCTTTATCTTGATGCATTTATCTTGGCCTCCAGTTTAGAAGATTAGGGAACTGAGGCACAAGGTCTGATAGCAATTCTTGCTCCCAGATGTAAGAAATAATGTTTCTAGGTATAGGATTCTGGCTGAAAGAAGAAATACACGATGTTGGCTAATGAGATATATGAAGAGGTTTGCCTTAAGTATTTGTTTAAGTATCTGCTTAGAGTAGAACAACCCTCTAAAAACTGTCTCTTTCGCTTTCAACTTGATCAGCACCGAAGCTACATGTGCTGCTGGATAAAATCTCAAGTGTTCTCTTCAAACAACTCCTTTCAACTCTTAGTTTAGCAAATTGAATTTATCAGAGTCCTAGGTTTTTTGTTTTTAATAGTTCTTAAGACTTACATGTTAGGAATGAATGTAACTACTGAGATTGGAGAAGAAGGCGTTTCTCTAAAGATGATACCCAGAGTCAATATTAACAAATTATTATAGACCTCTCTGTCCTCTGGTGAGTTTGATCATCATTTTATAGAGCTTTAATGCTCCTTTAGATCCAGTTAAATAAGAGGAGTATGTGTATGTTTGTAAAAAATGAAGTTGTTTTTGTACACCTACCCCTACCTATCGTTTATTAACCATAGGTAAAATACCTCTGTTAGACAAAATCCACATTGGACTTAAAATGCTCTGGGACATGGATACAGTCGTTTCATCTTATGGAATTTACAGATGTAGAAATGTACTGGAGGGTTTGTTGAGTATAATCTCTTCAAGACTGATAACGGTTCTCTCTCTTTTGCAGGCCTGGTCGGTGATAATGACTGCGATTAAGAGGCTGACATTACTACTGTCCTAACAAACCACGTTGTAACCGTGAATATTAACTATGCATCTTTGTTGGCCTGCAAAACCAAGGAAGCAGAGCAATGGCAGTTGAAAAAGACACTCTGATTCCAAGGTGTTTTTCTTGGGTTTGTTCCTCAGAGACCTCCTCTTTTCCTTCTCGACAACAATGTGGTACCTTTGACTTTTTTATCAAGATTAAGGACATGTTCTTTGCTCACCAACCAGAGCTAAAAATCTGCTGGAACAGAGTCAGAGACCATTTCAATTACAGCTGAGAAAAATGAAATTTCCATTCTATATGGTGCCTTGTACAGTGAGAATATTGACTCTTAAGGAAACTTTGAATGAGTGAACAGAGGTTGCAATTTGTCCATTAGAAACTCATGGTTATGGCGAGTGATCCAACGTGACCAGAGGGGGCACAACCACACAGGAACTCATGACGGGCTATACCATGTTACGGAATGGGGGCGTGGGGAACGGAGGTCAGACTTGTATGTTACGCTTGTCCAATCGCATCCGACTTACATGGCTCAGTTTTACACTCGTCATCATCCTGGTGTTCTTTCCCCTCATTGCTCATTATTACCTCACCACTCTGGATGAGGCCGATGAGGCAGGCAAGCGGATTTTTGGCCCCCGGGCTGGTAATGAGCTGTGCGAGGTGAAGCACGTGCTGGATCTCTGCCGCATCCGGGAGTCTGTAAGTGAAGAGCTCTTACAGCTGGAGGCCAAGCGGCAGGAGCTGAACAGCGAAATCACCAAACTGAATCTGAAGATTGAGGCCTGTAAGAAGAGTATTGAGAATGCCAAGCAGGACTTGCTCCAGCTCAAGAATGTCATTAGCCAGACTGAGCATTCTTACAAAGAGCTGATGGCCCAAAACCAGCCCAAACTCTCTCTGCCCATCCGGTTGCTCCCAGAGAAGGATGATGCTGGCCTTCCCCCTCCAAAGGTCATCCGGGGTTGTCGGCTTCACAACTGTTTTGATTATTCGCGTTGCCCTCTCACCTCTGGTTTTCCAGTCTATGTTTATGACAGTGACCAGTTTGCCCTCGGCAACTACTTGGATCCCTTGGTCAAGCAGTCCTTTCAGGCTACAGTACGAGCCAACATTTATGTTACAGAAAATGCCGACATCGCCTGCCTCTATGTGATATTAGTGGGAGAAATGCAGGAACCAGTAGTAATGCGACCCGTTGAGCTTGAGAAACAGTTGTCTTCTCTCCCCCACTGGCGGACGGATGGACACAACCACGTCATCATCAATCTGTCACGGAAGTCGGATACTCAGAATTTACTCTATAATGTCAGCACAGGCCGGGCCATGGTGGCCCAGTCCACTTTCTACGCTGCCCAGTACAGACCTGGCTTTGACTTGGTAGTATCGCCACTAGTCCATGCCATGTCAGAGCCTAACTTTATGGAAATCCCACCACAGGTGCCAGTTAAGCGGAAATATCTCTTCACCTTCCAAGGTGAGAAGATTGAGTCATTACGATCCAGCCTTCAGGAAGCGCGCTCCTTTGAAGAAGAAATGGAGGGTGACCCCCCAGCTGACTATGATGATCGTATCATCGCCACTCTAAAGGCAGTGCAGGACAGCAAGCTCGATCAGGTCCTGGTAGAATTCATCTGCAAAAACCAGCCAAAGCCCAGTCTGCCTACCGAGTGGGCCCTGTGTGGGGAGCGAGAGGACCGCCTAGAGTTACTGAAGCTTTCCACCTTTGCGCTCATCATCACTCCTGGGGATCCTCACTTGGTTATTTCATCTGGGTGTGCGACACGGCTCTTTGAAGCCCTGGAAGTTGGAGCTGTCCCAGTTGTGTTGGGGGAGCAAGTGCAGCTTCCTTACCAGGACATGCTGCAGTGGAACGAAGCAGCCCTGGTGGTACCCAAGCCACGGGTGACCGAGGTTCATTTCCTCCTGCGAAGCCTCTCGGATAGCGATCTGCTGGCCATGAGGCGGCAAGGCCGCTTTCTCTGGGAGACTTACTTCTCAACTGCTGACAGTATTTTTAATACCGTGCTGGCTATGATTAGGACTCGCATACAGATCCCAGCTGCACCCATCCGGGAAGAGGCAGCAGCTGAGATCCCCCATCGTTCAGGCAAGGCGGCTGGAACTGACCCCAACATGGCTGACAATGGGGACCTGGACTTGGGGCCAGTAGAAACAGAGCCCCCGTATGCCTCACCCAAATACCTCCGCAATTTCACATTGACTGTCACCGATTTCTACCGCAGCTGGAACTCGGCTCCAGGGCCTTTCCATCTTTTCCCCCACACACCCTTTGACCCTGTGTTGCCCTCGGAGGCCAAATTTTTGGGCTCAGGTACTGGATTCCGGCCTATTGGTGGTGGAGCCGGGGGTTCTGGCAAGGAGTTTCAGGCTGCGCTTGGAGGCAACGTTCCACGAGAGCAGTTCACTGTAGTGATGTTGACTTATGAGCGGGAGGAAGTGCTTATGAACTCTTTAGAGAGATTGAATGGCCTCCCTTACCTGAACAAGGTGGTGGTGGTGTGGAATTCTCCCAAGCTACCCTCGGAGGACCTTCTGTGGCCCGACATTGGCGTCCCTATCATGGTAATAGAAAAATGAGCAGTTTATTTTACTGCATGAAGTAATAATTCACTCTTAGTCCCCTTTCCATCTTTCTGAAGTGACTTTATACTAACAGGAGAGGCAAAAAAGAATATGTGCTTTTTTTTCCATAAACATTTTGAAGTCCGTATCTGTGTTTGTGTGCACCTGTGTACGTACATGTACAAATGGGCTTCAGACATTTGTGAAAAATTCCCTTAGTGTTTAATCATTCCTCGAACTTTTTGAAGCCCTGTCATGTCCACACACATGAGGGTAAGTCACAAGGCATTGCTACGAGGCTTTCAGTTCAGACATGTGTTCCTTTCATTCTCCTGACAGCTCTGCAAACAGTACTTGGCTACAGACTATTTCTTTCAGTAATTTAAGGGCTTCAGAAAGTTTATTTTAAAAATTCCACTAACTTTTCATTTCCGTTTTCCCACAAACATCCTGAAGCGCCTTCATACACTTGTTAGTGTGCTTTTTAAAAAGTCCACTGAAAGCTCTGGCTTCCACGGGGATCTGCTAGGCCCATTTAATTTAAGGCAGAAAAGTCAACTCACAAGGTTTTGACAATCGCCATTAAGACTGCACAGGGACAATCTTCATATATTTCTTGATGGATACAGGGCAATTATGAGGACTTATTAGGAAGAAGTTGAGAGAAGGTGAGAGAAAGGCCAGGAAAGTTGTGCCAAGGAATTTTTTTTTTTTTGGTCATGAGTGCATGTGCTTGTTCTTCGAGGGTAGGAAGGACTGTCTAAGGAGAATTTCATTGAGAAACCTCACCCCACACCCAACAGCCCCGATTCTTCCCCTTTAGACTTGTTCACAAAACTTGGAAGACTTTTAAAAGGAACATGAATCGAGTGTCTTGATGTCACAGAAGTGCCGTTTGACCTGGTATAAATCGAATAGTACAGAATTTTTCAGGGAAAGCCTAGCGAAATGGAAACAGTTCCTTCAGAAGTGCATAGACCCAGATGGAGGATGCATCAAGAATATATGACTGCACATTTTGATATTTTTGATTAGTAAAGATTTCTATGATTTTGTAACAATACTTTTGACTTTCCCCTAGTGTGTGTGTATGTGTATACACATCTATCTAAGGGGGCTTCAAAAAATTTGTGGAAAAATTGCTTCTTAATTTTCTGTAAATTTTTGAAGCCTCCTTGTGTGTTTGTTTGAACTTGTCCAGATAGATACCTTTGCCTCTAAAAATTTCAGTTTTGTTTCTTATGTTTCTTGCTAGTTTTAACTTTCAGAAAGCCTTCCACAGCTATAATATGTGTTGGACCCATGACGTTTACTAATTCCTTTAGTTATCCTGTAGATGTTTTCAATGTCTTAGCAAGATGTTGATGATAAAACTATGATTTATGAAGCACTTTTTAGCCAGGAAAAATAATAAACATTATAAATGACTACGTCTTCATTTTACATATGTGAATAGGCTTAGGTTAATTAATTTGCCCAACATTAAGGTCAGCATTGGCAGTGGTGGATTTTCGTATGTCTCATTCTAGAAGCGGCAGTTTTAATATCCCCTAAGGATCCCTGGTGGCGCAGTGAATGGTAAGGTGGCTTCAGAACCACCCTCTGCCCTGCAGGAGAAAGACGATGCCTTCTACTCCTGTCGGGAGTCACAGTCTCGGAGGCCCACAGGGGCAGTTCGACCCTGCCCCATGTGGTTGTTAGGAGTTGAAGTAGTAGACTCAGTGGGTTTTTTTGTTAAGGGATTTACAACGACGACGTGTCATTTCCCAGCCAACAGACTTATTTTGGAAGAATGGAATGAGAGTTTAACATGTGGAAGTTGGAAATCCTTAACCACCTCTTCTAGAATCTTGAGTCTCCTGTGCTGGTTAGGATGCTGTATTTTATACTAAGAATAATAACCAAGTATACATGATAAAACAGTTCCTAGCACTTTATCTACTTGCTGAATGTAATTTGGCAGCTTGAAGGAGATCCATTACCCCTTCTTTCCTGAGAGGTGTTAGAGTAAGTCTTAAGCAAACAGCCACTTACTGTAGATACTCGAGTATAAGCCAACCCAAATAGCAGCCAAAGCACATAATTTTACCACAAAAACTACATTAAAAATGTGCTGAAAAACTCGGCTTATCCATAAGCATATACGGTATTTACCTGGCAGTGTGAGTAATTCACAGAAAAAAATCCCAAAGAATGCTATTGCTAGGAGCTTGCGTAAAAATATTACTATAGTTTTCAGGGAAGATTATCTAAAAGAGGAATGTTTGGACTAGTGTAGTTTTTCAGAGATTTGTTTCACCAGAAAATAGTGTGAAATATTTTCTAAGGCAGCATAATCTGGAGGAAAAAGTGAGTTTTGGAGTGATACAGACATAGGTTTAAATAGCTGTTTTGTGAACTTTGGTAAGTTACTTTCTTTGAGCTTAAAAAATCTTAATAATTAAAAATATATCTTAGATGATATAAGTACACAGTCTAGAAAAGTACTCATTAATTAATTATTTGAAACCTTCTGTATATCAAAGGAGATGATAGTCAATATGTGATTAAATGATGTGTACATTAGAGAGCCCTTGTCACGCTGTAGGAGCCCTGGTGGCGAAGGGATAATGCTTTGGGGTGCTAGCCATACGGTCAGCAGTTTTAACTCACCAGCCACTCTGTGGGAGAGAGACAAGGTTCACCTAAAAAGTTACTGCTTCGGAACTCACAGGGGCAGTTCTGCACTATCGTATGGGGTTGCTATATGAGTCAGAATTCACTTGATGGCAGTGGGTTTAGCATTTGGTGTGATGACGCAATGATTAAGTGGTTGGCTGCTAATCAGAAAACTGGCTGTTCAACCCTAGCAGCCACTCTGTGGGAGAAAGGTGTTGGCTTCCTTAAAGATTTATAGCCTTGAATCCCTATGGGGCAGTTCAACTCTGTCATCATATGTTCAAATTAACTCTGAGTTTGTTTTTTTTAGTATTGTATATATTGATGAGTGTCTACCACTTCCTTCCTCTGGTTATGGAGTTTGAACTACCTTTGTTGAGGATTTGAACTTCTTTGTTGTGGTTAGGTGCTGTCAAATCGATGAGGACTCTCAGCAAACCCGTGTCCAACAGAATGAAACGAAGTCCTGTGCTGAACTACATTTAAACTACTTTTACGGACACTTAGAAAGGCTTTCTGTATTCTCTGCTGTTCTCGTTATCTTATAGCTGGTCCCACCCACTCTGTTGTACAAAGTACCTAACTACATTGGTTTATTTTTTTCCTGATTGCTGCCGATGTCTCTGTATTTTATTTATTGAACCTGCAGTCTGAGGGTATTCTCAGGATTTTTGAGCACAAAATGTATCATGTGTTAAGAAAATGTTATAAATGGGGAAGCTTTATAGACTACTAAATAATTTTTTTTTCCATTCTCAATTACAGTTTTATGGGTGTCATTAAATTTTTTAAAGAAGAATTTGTTCTGTCAGCGATCCATATTGTTTACATAGTAGAATAATAAAACAGCCATTCCATTCTTCTTAGTTTTCTTTGCATTTTATAGAGACGTAGAGAGAGTTGCTGCACCTAGGCTAACAATGTTTGAAATTCAGCAGACAGTTGACCAGAGCTAATGTCGCTTTATTGGGAGGAGTAGTCTTCGTTGATTACAGGGCAGCCCACTGAAATAGGACGGTGCCTTGCTGAAAAGTGCCAGAAACGTTCCCAATGGGACCCATTCTGAGTTGCTTTGGCATACAAGAAATACAGGTTTTCCTCCCCCTCTAGTTCTTCTAAAAAAGAACAGATTTAAGCTGGAGAATCTTGTTTTGTCCCCTAAATATTCTGACTATTTTCTATTTAAGAAAGGCATTGCTGTGGGTAGCAGTTGAAATTGCTGACCTTTGGGGCAGAGAGCCAGTACTGCCGCAGAATCAGGGAGAGAGGGCTCAGGATAGAGTGTCCATGGTGTAGTGGTGCAAACTATCTATTACAAGCCTCCGAGCAGCTTTCCCACTCAGATACAGACCTACCCAACCATGGGATAGGTTCACAGGTCTTTAGAGACCATGGCTTTCTTAGCCTTTGTTCTTTCCACCCAAAACTCCCTTTTTTCCTCTTCTTCAATTAGGGTAATTTTTATTGCGCTGCCAAGTTCATGTACTTCTGTGTTATCGTCATTCCACTGACAAGCCTACCAGTGATTTATTAATTGAAGATTAGTTTCCAGTTCTAGAGTTTTTATTTGGTGTTAAAAAATAGCTTGTTTTCCACGAGATTCTTCTCTATCTATTCGGAGCATATACTTACGCTTCTTTATCTGCTAATTCCAACATGGGAGATACTGAGGATTTATCTTGACTAATTTTCTTTTTCCTTGAGGACTCACCAATACTTTTCCTGATTATTTATGTATCAAACAGTTTTATATTAGATCCTACATGGTAAGCTCCCACTTTTATATTAGTTGTCTAATGAGTATTGCTGTTTTTGTTTAGCAGGCTGTTACTTTCCCTTGATTCAAACTGAAACCTCAGTTTCTGGAGTGGTAACTCATTTAAGTGTTAGATTCTTTAATCGGAAGCTGATCTGCTTGGAGACTGCTGCAAGCATGCGTGGTCAGTAGTAGGCCTGCGGCTGTATAGTACGTACATAGAATTTAGATCCTCCGCCTTTGGGGCTCTTCTCTCTGAAGTTTCCTCCTTACTTTCCAAGGGCTGTGGTTGTCTCTAACTCCACCCTCCGGCTCTTCAGGCCAGAAAGAGACTGAGTTTTGTCTGAGAGCGCTAGCTACCCTCCATGATTCGTCAGCGCCCCTTCATTACCTGCCATCTTTTGTTCACGCTCTGATGTCTTCAGATAATTGCATTTTTGGTGTTTTGTTGAGAGTTTATAGTTACCTTATGCAGGGGGATTGAGTCAAACAGGAACTTACTTGGCCAAACTGGAAGCAGAAACCTCTAGTTGGTGACATTTTTTATATGTAGCCCCACTTAATGCTTTGGTTAGAGTTCCTACTT